TCCAACCTTAATGATTCTATGATTAAATTATGATTAAAAATAAGATGCAGGTTTTATTTACCCTAAAGGTGATCAGTCAGTGGTATTGCATTCTCCACTGCTGAATTTTTTTAAAGCCAAAACTGAATTAAAAGCAGAGAGGCATGCTTTGGTTCAAATAGGAGTTATTTCTAGGAAGTTCTGCAGTGCTATGCAAGAGTACTGAAGGCTAGATCAGTGATCAGATTTTGAATAGCAAATAGCTATGCCAGAAGGTGGAGCCACAGCGTCTTCAGAGAGGTATTTTTTAGTGTCAGGGGCTCCTGGCCTCCAGAGGTGCTGCTTTGCATGCAGGCAGGCATATTCAGCGAGGTGACTTGGTGGGGTTGAGCTGCCCCTTAAAGAGTTTAGACTGATTTGGAACATTTTAAACTTTGAGATGTTTTTGATCACTGAAATCAGGTGGTTATACTGTTCTCTATTTGTCTTCCAATGAATGATTTGCTCCAGGTTTCCTGATAAGCAAAGTATGTCTATTACAAATGCACTGTTCCCACTTGGCAAAACCTGCTATTGGTTCCTGGAAGAGGAAAACGTCTGAATTTTTGGAAGCTTCTCAAACCCTAACTTATGCAGTTTGCCATCTTTTAATTATGCCAGCCACAGTGAAGAGATTAAAAGGAAATTGTGGTGATGGTATGCAGCAGAAATGGATTTAGGTTATGTAGATAGTACAGAGAACAAGGAGAGTTCCCCCAAAATATCTTTATTTTGTGGCTCTGTAGACTTGATCTCTGCTTCCATCTAGTTCTGCTGCTTTCACTGTGTTTACGCGAAGCTTAGCCAGGCAAGTAGTTTTTGCTAGCCAAATACAATTCTTCACTTGGCAGCCCACCAAAGTTCTGCACCCTGTGTCTCAGTTCCTGGCAGAGGCAAGTTTGTGAGCAGAGATTAATTAGGATCTTAGAGCTTGCAGCTCTGTTGCAGGGAAACGCTTAGCTGCCAAATATTCTGCTTGCTTGAAACATGCCAAGGAGGGGACAGATCTGGAAATAAAGAGTTGAGGAAAACGCTTTGTATGTGAAAGTTAAAAATGTTATTAAAAAATTAACTCAAATCATGACTAAAATTAAAAAATCTAACACGTGCCTTCAGAATAATTAAAGCAGAAGTAGTAGCATATTTCACAGTAAAAAGCTAATGAAGTCATACTTCACTACTGTGAACATATACTCTGTGTCTGAAAAGTGCACAGAATTGAACTCAGGCCTTTTAATGATTCCACGGTCTTTTAAGAACAAAGTTGAGGTGGTGTTTGTGTGTAATCTTTGAGAAATTGAAATGTGTTCTACTTTTTGCTTACAAACCAGGTCTTATCCACCAGTCTCCTTAGCTGTATCAGCCAAGTCACTGATCATATCTTGCAGTTGTTACTTGAATCCCTATCCCAATGGAGAGGCTTTAGGTTATCTATAAAGTGCAGTAATGATATATTTTTCTCTAAATGGTTTGTCAAGACTCTGCTCTACATGTGTAGAAATTCTTTTCACATGTGAGCTCTCAAGGCTGATTAAATTAAGAAAGATTATAGTAACAAAATGTTTTTCCTATGAATTTTACTTTTTTCAATCATTATTTTGTTTACAGACCAGCAGTGGCTTATAAATGAGAATAAACGACTGGCTGCCCTTCAGCAACAGCAGAGGGAGTTTGCAGTGCAAACAGAGTCTACACTGTATGCAGAGGCTGAGGTGCAGAGTACCATTGGGCTGGAAATCTGCCCTTCCCTGCTACAGCAGAAGAAGAAGAGATTGGTGCAGCTGGAGCTCTTGCAGAGATATTCCTTAAAAAAGGCAGAAAGAAACATAAGGCAGAAAAAGGTCAAATTCCAGCTGGAAAGGATAGTTAAGAAGCAGAAATTATTGGAAGCCAAGCAAAACCTAGAGCAGCTGGAAGCTAACTGCTGGCTCAATGAAGAGTGTGTGAAACAATCCCAAGTACTAAAAAAAAATACTGCTGTACAGTCCTCTTTGGATCACCTGTTGCAAAAGAGAAGGAAGTCATTGGGTTCGAGTTCCTTGCAGCACGTACAGCATTCATTCTGTAACCCGCATCTGCCCCAGGTACCCAGGTAAGTTAACATCTGCCAATTCCTCTGCACTTTCAAAAGTAATTTAAATTCCAGGTATTTTCAGTGACCACCTATAATCCAGAATGCCTTTCAGTCAGTGTATTGAAACAATCGCAAAACTTGGAGTATCAGTGAACTTACTATATTGTATGTCACACAGGAGCTGTTTGTCCTTTTTCCTTGGATCTGTACAGTGCATTCCCTGCTTAGCTCTTTGACATGGTCTTTCTCACTGTTTTTTACATTCCTCTCTCAAGCCTTTCTGCACTTTTAACCTCTTTGTGAATGCTTTCCAGAACTGGCTTAGCTCTTGTTCTTAACCTTGTTCAATTGTTGGTAAATACTAATATCTGCATTGTTTTATCTTGATTAGGGTCAGACTCTTGCTTCAGAATGTTTATACCATTGGGGTAGTTCTGGATTGGACTTTTAAGTTGGCCAGCCCTTCTCAAGCTAAATAAATATCTCTATGCAGTGCTAAAAAGTTGAGGTCCTAGGGTATCTATCACAGCATGGTCCTGGAGGCAGGAAATAGCTAAACTCTGCTAAGTGGATTTCTGTGACTTAGAACTATCTTATATTTTTAACTAATGTTTGCAGCTACTTTAGCCTACAGAGACTTAATGCCAAGCTATACCACATAGCATTGTGTTGCAGAATGTATTTCAGGATAGGGGGGACTGTATGGTTACTGAAAGGAAATTTTTTTTTAATTAATTCTCTGACAGAATTTGCTTCTGAAAGGCATTAAGATTGTGACTTCATGTATCGTTACTCTTAACTACAAGACATTACCGATGTGGAAGCGTTGTTAAGTACATTACTCAAGCAAGGATTGAGCATTGTTTTTTCTTTATTTCCACAGCTGTTTGTTGAAGAGGGAGACTGTCTCAAAGTTATCTACCTCACCAAATATTGATCAGTGCTCTGAAGGCTGTACAACAGGGAGGTTGTCATCTGTAAAATATCTTTATGGAAAAGTTAAAGATGTTTCTAGGAGTGAAGACCTTAATGATGAAAAACGGATCTCCTTTTCAGTCCAGAGGCAGCTAACTGAAAAACAAAGACCATTTTCATTTGGAAATAAAAAAGGAGCAGAAAAAGACTCTAGTGATTCAGCTATCATGGCTTGTATCAATAAAAATGATCAAAAAATTGCAAAGTTGGATGACAGCCCAAGGCAAGCTGGATCTGAAAACCAGACCTCTCAAGGGGCCTCTCCTGATCTTTTTAAGCAGAAAGATGAGCCTGAAACCTTTATTACAGGGACAAGAATGACAAAAGCAAAGGTGCTAAGAGATATAAGTCAGCCTGCAAGTAGCAATCTAGAACAAAATAGAGCTCAGGTATCCAATAAAAAGAGTAGAATGGATATCAATAGAAAAGGCCACAGCTCTTCTCCAGAAAACTTTCCTGAAGAAATGAAGAAAACAGTGTATGGAAACCCACCACCAGCACTTCTAAACCAAACAGACAAGAACTGGGAGAGAGAACCAAATTCAGCCGTGCCAAGTCATGAGAAATCATCAGTGGAACACCAAGAACTTCTGATGGTGGCGACATCAGTTGGAAATCTTGCTAAGATGAACACACAGGCACCTCTCTCTTACATTGGAAAGAAGTGGCACAGTGCTGAGATGCTAAGTGCTGGAGTGTCCAAAACAGCCACAGATGTGCTGGGGAACTGTCAAGAGGATGATGAAAACGAGATTTCTGATACTGACAGTTCTTACTCTGTAGATTCTCTCTCCTGCGCTTATGCAAAAGCTTTCACAGAGAAACTGAAACAAGAAGATTTTGACAGAACTAAATGTCTTGCCAACCCAGAAGATTCTGAGAGCGATGACAGTCAAATGTCACAAGACTCTCTAATAGAAAAGGAAAATAAAGCCAAAAAGCAAAATAAAAGCCGATTTCACAAGTCAAAGGCCCACCATGAGCCTGCTAAGCTTTACAAAAGCAGAACTGATCACCATATTTCATCTTTGGTGACATCATACGCATCTCGTAGGAGACTGGGAAAGCCTGAAAGAAGCTTTTCTCTGGACAGCTTAGCTGATGGAGAAGAGATGCCAGCAGAAGATCTGGTAGAAGAATCCAAATCTGATTCATCTGATGAAGTGCCAGCAGAGATCTTTTGGAAGTTACAAACTCCTAGATTACCAGCTATCCAGACTGAGGAAGGCCATGAACCCAAGATCTGCAACAGAGATACAGAAGGGACAGATTATGATCTGAAGCTGAGCAGTTCCTTTTATTTGGACACTGAACAACAGCCTGCTTCCCATAATGCTGGCAAGCAGTTCCTGAGAGGGACAAAAGTCTCTTTTGTAGAACAAGAAAGGTGTCTTGATAGAAGACTGTATTACACAAGTGGAAATCCTTTGCTTACTACTGATGCTTCGTCGTCCTGTGACATCAGCAGCCCCAGAATAACAGCACCTTCTTCCCATGAAAATCTGCAATTTCAAGAAGCTCGCCTGTGCTCTTTGAGCGAACGAGAGCTCTGGCTGAAGAAAGATGATCTAAAGCAGTCAGCTGCTGAAGTTTCTTTTGTTTCTGGATCTAAGCAGATACACAGCATTTCACATTTGTCACATCGTATAAACGAAAGAAACACAGGTTTCTCCTCTGACACATCAGAAGCACCTTTACCTGAAACAACAACAACTGCAAGCAGAGTTTCTGAGAGTGGATCATTAAATAAGAGTCTTAAGGGATGGACAAACTCTAGTGAAATTTCTTCCTTGGAATCTCAAGATGTAATGTCCTCATTTGTTAGCTCAGTAGGACCAAGCTCCTCTCTTGTTCCTCTTTCAGCAAAGCATGATTATTATTATGAACATTCGAGGTCAAATCATCCTGAACAAGACCAACTGAATGAATTATCTCCTTACAGGTCTACCACTGAATGCACACAAGCATTCAGCTGTTTGGAAAGCACCTCCGCTACAGACTGCTTGTCACTGGTATCTAGGAAAGAGGAGGATTCTCTCCCCACAACTCATCCAGAGCTGCCAAAAGATCACAGTCTGAAAAAAATGCCTTTTATTTCTGCATTGCCTGTGCCCATTTCGGAACAGAGAAATGGCTGTGTAGATGCAGATTTAGAAGATGATTTCTTCAGAACTTTTGAAAAAGGTGACCTAGATGATGATGGCTACAGTAACTTGATGACAAAATCAAGTGTAACAGATTCAGGCAGTGGAAGTGCATCTGTCAGTGCTCCTGCTGCTGAATCTTCTATAGGACTTGCTCATAATGTGGCCACAACACAGACATCTGCAGTAAAACAAGTCCAATTTGGAAACCATGGGCAGCTTTTTCCAAGAAGGGAAATACCAACGTGTTGTGATGAAGGTTTCTTTCTCAGTGACCTAACAAATAAGAACTGCTCTCTACTAAGCAGTCACGAGCTTCAGACATTGGCTGGACAAGGAGGAGAATCAGCTGTTACAATAGGTCTCCTCACATCTGGGGAGAGTAATTTGGAAACAATGCAAGAAATGGATTATGAACAAATATCTACAGAAGAAATAACAACAGAGACAGATTTTTCCTCACAGGAGACAACATATCGATGTAACCCTTTAGTTGTTCACAGTGCAAGTTGCAACCAATCTGCAACACCAATAGAGGTATCTCAAAAAGAGATTATCTGTATGGAAACAAGCACAGATAGCTTGGCAGAGATTGGGCCAGATCTGTCTTCATTCAGCGATAATGAAGAATATGAACCAAAGGATGAAGACTTGTCTTCACTGAATCATTATGAATTCAAAAGCAAACCTGTTTATTCCCATGAATGTGCTCTCGCAGACAGACAGCCAAGTTACTTATCCCAACAAATTTCAGAAAATTCCACATTATGCACTGATAATATAAGAGAAGAAAGCAGTGAAAGGAGAGAACACAATGTCTTGAATTCTCAGGCTGTAGTTCGGAAAGAATTTTCATCCCAATATGAAAACTTAGTAGTAAATGAAGTCAGTTATCTCGTAGTGAATGTAAATGGGACAGACACTGAGTCCTTCCCTGCTGCTATTTGTGAGAGTACAAATCATTTTCCCCCAGAATCCAATTCAAGCATATTTTACCAAGCTTCAACAAAAGCTAATCTTTTTCAAAGTGCATCTGAGACTGAAAATTATGATAAACTATTGGAGCATGTCACAGCAGTGAAAGGAGATTGTGATGGTACCTCTAATCTTACTGTGGAAGTCAGTGGCACAGAAGGTTGTTCTGAGGCACATCCTGGCTGCCTTTGCACAACATGCTCTTCAAAATCAACAGGGCAGAAAAACAGTACTCATAAGACAACTGACATTTCTGTGGAATTTGAGGCAACCATCCTCTTGGAAACAGAAACACAGAACAAATCTTTACTTGAATCAAGAGAAGAGAAAAAAGTCTCTTTTGAAAGTGATATCTTGCTTGTTGAAGATGATGTAAATTCAGAGTTGGGAAGAGGATTTGAATACAACACAAATATATCAGCTACTGTTTCTCAAGAGAAGAGTCCATATATAAATAAAGAATCCAAGTTTTTAAGAAACCCAGAAACTGATCCAGAAGAAACTATGGTTCCTTGTCAGAATATGAAAGCAAACACTGATGAAGAAGTAACAAAATTGATCAATAGTGCAATCAACTTAGAAAAAAATGCATTGGAAATTAAATCCAGACAGATTGAAAGTTTACATGACTACCCAGTAGCCAAAGCCCAAAGTGTAACTGAAGACAAGAGTGGAGAGGATTTTAAAGGCGTTAGTCTATCTCAGAATCCAAAGAAACGTATTGATATTGCAGCTGGTGAAGTTCCACATGAGTTTTATACAAATCTGTGCCTGACACGTGAAGAGGCAGAGAAAGATGAACCACAAGTAGCCAGCACCAGGGTAGAACACAGTCAGGAATCAAAAGCACTTGGATGTTCTGGCAGCCAGCTTGAGACAAGCAGCTTTTGCCAAAAAGAAAAAAGTGAGAAAATAGAAATAGGTATTTATTCACCAGAGTTTTCTGTTGCTCCCAAAAGCAGTCCTTCAGCTGCGTGCTCCCACACTACAGGTTTTACTCAGAATACTTCAGTCGTCCTTGATGCTTGTGAGGGACTTTTACAGATTAATAGAACAACAGAAACTACGTTTAATACAGAGGATGTAGCTGCCACGGTACTAGTCACAGGTAGGCAAGGAAATATTTTAGCAAAACCTGAAAATGAAGGACAAGTAGCGTCTAGCAGTTTAATTGAACGTTGTGTAACAAACTGTTTGCCCCAGGAAGACAAGGTTAATGAATGTGAAGTGACTGGGAGTGAAGAAAAAATTATCATGACAAATACTGAGGGGCGGAGTATTGCGAGGCAAGAAATCATATGCACAGGTAAAAATGTTTTATTTACTGAAGAGACTCCAGCTGCACATCGGATGTATTGTGATAGAGGTGACGAAGAGGAAACTTTAAATCCGTTTAAGATCCCTGAAAGATACCTTATAGCTTCAGAACTAGAACAGAATATACTGTTAGATGATGATTCAAGATATCATGATCCTACTGAAATGAGTGAGGATGGTGGCTCAGTGGACTCTGTTACAGATAGAAGAAATGCAGTCATGAAAGATATTGATGCATGTGAGTATTCAGTTGATGATAGTACTGGTATTGACCAATATAGAATTGAGCAAGAATTTAAGAGTCTCCACTTTAAAGAGGATAGCCATGCATATTTGAGTTGCTCTATGCAATATCTTGAGCATAGCACTTCAGAAAACTCGAACAGAAGTATCGTTAGAAGAAGACCTGATATTTGTGAATCGGATCCAGTAGGCTCCAGAGTTGAGGAGGAGAAAGTGCATTTGATGAATCCAGAACAAATGGCCAAAACAGACGAAGAAAAGGGCATGTTTCTAGAAAACACGGAGGAGGTGGAACTGATCTTTTTACAAAACCTGAATGAAGTATTCCCTGAAAACAAAGACAGCTGCCAAATGACAGGTGATGACAGCAGATCAAATGAAATCTTAAGAGAAAGACAGTGGGTGTCTACCAGCTTTTCTACAAATAATGAAGATATCAGCAAGCAACAAAATCTAACAGCAACACTGAAGTCTCCTGAAAAAACCCAAGAAGGTTCACTTAAAGACTCCCTATGCCAGTCTGTAAATCACCTTTTATATCTTGGAGCAAGTGATGATTCCCATCTTGTTCAAGATGTTCCCACTGCATTGGAAGGACACACAAAACCGTCTAACAGCAGCGTTGGAACTGGAGCTGTCCTGCCTTACTATGAAACATTAATGGAGAGTGAGGTCTGTGTTGGTATGCCTGTTTCTGTCAGAGAAGACAAATATCTTTCTGATATAATGCAAAGTAAGAATGTAGCTTTTCAGCAAACCAGGACCAGAGAGGAGGAAGAATCCTTTGTATTTAACAATGACGTATCTGGGCAACCTGTCAATGAGAAGAACAGCTCTTCTACTCCCGACAGTGCAGGTGGTCCTGACTCCGAAGCTGTTGCGCTTCAGCAAGGGGCAGAAGGAAATTCATTTTCTGTGGAAAAATTAGATCCTTCTGAAGATATAATTCAGGATGCTAACAATGCTCAGGAAGAACACCATGTGGATTTAATAGGTAGTGAACTATCAAAAGACTGCCTCAATTCCATAGAAGGTACAGTGCAAGAGGAAAAGGGTACCATTGTGCCAGATTCAAATCTGCTTTCTTCTTCAGAGAAAGAAGTGGTGGAAGATACATGGGGGGGGAAAATTAATTCTTTACCACAAATCTCTTCTCAAAAAATGCTTCACTATGTTAATACAGCTCAGAAAGTACTTCACTCAGGGAGTTTATCACAGCACAATGAGAAGGAGAAATTTTTAAGCGCAGGCTATACTACTGCAAATAGTAAAAATGAAAATGCAGAGTTTCCTGATGTAGTCAGATATCAGCCTGAGCCCAGAGAAAATCAGGGACATGGGACTCCTGAAGAGTGCTACGTGGACCAACCAGGCAGCAGGGTTTCTGAGAATGCCTCCACCCTTTCAGAAGGCCTGAACAAGGCTCCATGGGAAAATCCACATTATAGTGAAGAGTTTCTAAATTATAATAGGAACTCAGGCACTTCTGAATGTTCTTCTGGTCTCCTGAATCATCCAGCATCATCTGCAGATGTTTTGATTGCCAGCAATGGAGACAAAGGTAAAATCAATGCGGTTCTCTCTGGAGAAACTAAATACTTTGAAAGTGAATCAACAGATTTAAGTGTAACTTTTCCTGATGTTTCTCAAAAAGGAGATGAAAAGAAAAATAATTCTGCAGTTGCAGAGGCCACATATACTCAGAATAATAAACTCCCTGAAAAAGTTGTGGGAACAGATCAAAAGGGGAAAATAATTCAAGATTCTTTCCAGAACTGCAATGACATAAAAGAAAATAAAATCAATGAGTACTCAGAACACAACAGTAACACTTCTAGGGTGACTGCGCCAGAATCAGGCTTGCGTACTTTTCAGAGCCAAGGACAGACTGGCAGTAAAGAATCAAAGTGTCTTCCATCCAACTTTGCGGAAGATACTCCAACTGATACACCGTTTCAAAGCTCCAAGAACTTCAGTGCTTTTGACACTTCTTGTTTATGTGATGTCTCACAATCTGTAATATTTAGTCAGCTTGAGGACTCACTTCAAGACACTGTTTTGACTGAGCAAGTATCCTCCAGTTCTGGAGATGTGTGCCCTGTAAAAGGAGGAGATTTTCCCCAAGCCTTTTCAAGTGTCAGTCACCCATCCTTAACGCCATTTTCAGAATCTTCTTCAACTGCACATACAGGTCATGGTGAAACTGGCACGTATGATATTTCACATACAAGTGCATTGAAACATTCTCCATTTGCTGTTTCGCAAATACAGGACACTCAGTCTGATAAGGCTGTGGTATTCGACGAGCCGATACATGCTTCAGGGAGTATTTTACTTTCTCTTGCAAAAGAAAACAGGCATTGTCCAGTATCAGACACAGACTCTACTTCATATAAAAATTCTGCTGTAGGCAGGGAACCTGTATATGGAAGTAATTGTAAAAAATTTGACAATGATATAAAAGTTGATCAGCACCATTGGGGTAAAGCTCCACCACAAGAAGCTTGCACAGAACACACAGAGAAAGTACTAGGTGATGATGATTCTCTTTTATTACCATCATTACCTTTTTGGGATACTGGAAGGGCAATTCTTGTTAAAGAGGGAAAAATATTTAACAGAAATGAGGAAGAACTGCATTCAAATATTGAGGCTGAACATTTTGCAATAAAGACAGAGCAGAGAAAAATATTAAGTAGAGAAGCTGCTGAAAGGCAAACTAACGTATCCTCAAATTCTGCAAGTGAATTAATAGGCCCAGAAGTTACAGTGCTGGAAAATCTGTATCCAGGAGATGTTGATGTAGATCCTGAACACACCTGCAGTTCATTCAGCCCAGCGTACCGCACATACAGCAGAAGCGCTCATCCCAGGCGACTGTATCCCACTGTCTTGGGTTTTGAAAAAAAACCTGCAGATCTGCAAGACAGTTGTCAGTATGTGCCTACAGGTGAACAGGAAGAACAAATTCCAGATGGAACAAATACAGATGTTAGAAAAGAGATTTTAATTTGCAAAAACAGTAGAGGCTCAAGTGTTGATAGCCCTGCTGCTGACGCTGATGCAGACACTTGTCCAGCAATGGGAGATGCTGTAATGAGGAATAAGACTCTGAAATCAGAAAGACTAAACTTTTCTGTGAGGAATAATGAAAGTATATCCTCGAAGTTTTTAGCAGAAAACTATGCTTTGCCTCCTCAAGAATTCAAATCGGTGCAATTCAGGAGCAAAAGATCATATTCTACTACACGGAATACAAGGAGCTGTACACAAAGTGAACAGAGGCCTTATTTACAAAGTCACAGACTGTCAGCACCAGCTATTGCTGTGTTCTCTGATCCAGAATATACTTTGGAAGCTTCATCTAAGGTAGATCCTTTGTTATATTCCACATCAAAATCACTGCAAGATTTAAATATGAGTGTAGAGCCTCCATCACCAACTGATGATGATCTTCATGGAATTGAAAGATTTTCAAAGCAGGAATCGAAGAACTTTCTGCAGGTTAAATCTAAACCCAGATTTCAGCAGCGAACGGCACAAACTAAGAAGCTTGCAAACTGTGATCTGAAAAATCTACAAAATTTTGCAGCAAGAACCCAAAGCAGGCAGTCTTCAAAAGACTGTACTACTCATTCTCCATCATCTTTACTGCACACAGCTTCCAGTTCTGTGGGCACAGAAGAAAATATCCATTCAAAGAGTAGTTCTGTAGCTCAGTGCAGCGAAGGGAAAGTTGAAGAAGCTGGATACCAACCAGGAGCAGATTCATTTTTGCAGGACAATAAAGATGCAATACATTTTAGTTCAAGTGATATCAACCCATATATTCATCTGTGGCAACAAGATGGATCAGGCAAGATTGGCTGGAAACAATATGTATTTGGCAGTGCAAGTGACGTCTCTTCCAATCAAATTCCTTTAAGCCCGGATAATCGTAAAGTTATGAGATGTTCCAGTGTAGACAATGGATTGAATTCTCAGATTTCTCCTTTTCATTCTCATCTCAGTTCGTATGCTACAGCAAAGGTTTTATCGAGCACTTTAAGCAGCATTGAAGGTCTTCAAGGATGGGACAATGTCAGGCAAGGCTTTCAATCTGCATACTCCAGTGACAGCACCAAGCAGTATAGCAACATATCCAGTGAAACACTGGAAACTAATCCAGAAAATAACACTGCTGAATTTGAGAGTCCTTCTGCACAACCTGGTAACTCTTCAATGCAGGTTGATGAAATTGTACTGTTATATCCTTCCGAGTCAGAAAGGCCTTCCAAAAAACTACCAGGGACTACATGTGAGCAGGGAACACAAACAGCAGCTACGGGGAGGTATAAAAGGCAGAGAAGACATCAGAGAAGCTATACAGATGTTTCTGCAAGAAAGCAGGAAACAAACAGAGATTTATTTCAGCAGCCTTCTTCTTGGACAAGCATGCAGAACCTGTCCATGCATCTGTCACAGCTGCTTCAGAACACTTCTGAGCTGTTAGGAAATCTCTCCCAACAGACTGTTAGAGATACTGAGCAGAATGTCAGAATCAACCAAAGAGGAACTGAAGAGGCTGTGAAGGCTACTAGATCAGATAGCTGCACTCAGACTACAGCAGATGTAGGCACTCAAACTGAGATTCTGGAAGAACCTCAAAGCAAACACGCAGAAAAACAAGTGGAGGCAAAAATGGAAAATGAATTGAGGGCAGCTGCAGCAGTAACCATTGATGGGAAAGGAATAGCTACAGATTCAGTAGGTAAAATTCCCAAAAGGAAAGAGGAAAGACTCTCTCTCGCAGAAAGAACACAAGAACGAACAGGGGTGAGAAATCCGGGCAATCCTGACTTCCATGACAGTCTTGACAGCATTTTGGAAGACTCCTTTATGCGTCTGCCTCTCTTACCCAGAGCCTCCACTCCCATCTTTGATTTTCAAAAAACATCGTTCAGTGGACAGCAGAATGTTGCTTTTGCTAGTACCAGAGTTTCATCTCTCACATCATCCTCACTGAGTTCAGGGCAAGATGGTTCTTTGTGTACTGTAGTCAGCAGCCCTACCAATGGCACCTCTCAATCTCCAGCGTCTTACGCTGAGGATAAAAGAATTGTCAATGAACTAGAGGTTCCAGCAGAAAGAAAACCGTGTTACAAAACCACCTTGCTAGTTGACAGGGCCTCTTCGCCTATTCTTACTCTTAGTGCTAGTCCCAACAGCCACACAGCTTTTGGCAAGTCTGTCTCCTCCATTAAGGAACCTTTTGGATATTCTGGTGATGTTCCAAGTCCCCTTCACAACCAGAGAAGGCAGAGGGCAGGTCCACAGTCTGGCATGCAACCTCACATAGACAATTTTTCACAGACGGAAACAGGCAGTGAATGTAGCGTTTCTAGAGACAACAAGGGCATAAGAACAAATGGGGGTTTCTTAGGTAAGAAGGCAGCCAAAGAGCTTTTAGAAAAGGATGGTTCAAAAGAGTTGGAACAGCAGCACAGACTCAGGGCTGACACCCACACTACCATCTGTGCAAAACGACTGTACCACTCAAGTAGTATGTTGGAGGTGTCTGGCCACAGGGAGGTTTTAACAGGTGATCTCAGAGACTGCAGTCCACTGGCCCATTCTCTTCGTTGTATGTACGTTACAAGGGGAGGAAGGGGTTCTTCACCTGGAATCGGACCTGCAAAATATGTTGGTAATTCTGATACTGCCTTGATTCATAACTGCTCACCTCCAAATGCTGACTTACTTTTTAATCAAAAAATTAGTGCCACTTGTTCAAGTAAGACAAATGCTGGCACATCCTCAGAACCGCTGGTAGAAGCATCTTCTCTACAGTTTCATGATTTCTCCTGGAAAAATGAAAACAGCTGCCCTCTGCCCCTGTCTGATGTGAGCGATGCACAAACTTCCTTCCAAGATGAGAATACAAATTCCGTCACGGAAAGTGAATGTGACACTGAAATTCTTCTCAACAAAAATATTACTTTTGCAAAGCCTTACAGGCATCGGAGCTACAGTCTCCGTGACTTACCCATACACAACAAATTTAGCAACTGGTGTGGTGTTAAGGGCAGCCCTTCTCCTTCATTACTCAGCTTGAGTGGCAGTGTGACTGATTTACAAAGTCAGGCAGAAAAGAAACCTGGAAGCACACGAGCAACAGAAATGGAAGGGAATTCCCAGCTTTGTGACAGCAGGAGCAGAGAGATCGAGAGGCTGCAGAGAGAGCGTGCTCAGGTTATGGCTGGCATTCATCTGGATCTGCATCAGCAGCCCCTCACCGTGGAGCTGGCCGAAGCAAAGCTGAATTATGGCATCGGGGAGACAGACGCCCTGCTGAGGGTCCTTCAGAGTGGAACAGACGATGACCTGGTGACGACTCCACTGAAGCAGCAACTTTATGAAAGGTAAATTACTTAAAGTAGTGTTATGTTAACTATTTTGAATACACTTTATGCAGTTTAAATAACATTTAGTAATGAATGCTTAATCTGAGTTGACACTGAGTGAAGAGATAGAGTATTAACCTTATTTTGTATACCACTAAGTAATGCATTTAAGACAAAATCTTGGGGTTACTTAAATAAAATAGGGGAAAGTATAAGATTCAGTGTAATTCAAATCTAGCGTCACCCCACTCTTAAGGTTTGTAGCAGCTATGAGAGTGTTCATGTGTACCTGGTGATCATGGGAATATATTTCATTGATTTATTGCAATGTAAAAATAATTGATGCATGCTATTTATAGGGATATCTCATTCATGCTTTTGTGAATAAATGCTGCTGTATGAATATGCAAAAACAAATTTAAAAAACCTGTAAGTATACAAAATTTTTAAAAATCAAGGTTCTAGAGTCTTGTAATTGGATTATAGAACTCAGTTTAGGAAGCTGTTGTAACTAAAAAAATTTAGGAGTAGCTACATTAGTTTCCACCTTCAATTTGATTCTTGGCCATTACAAGCAGTGACCAAGGCCCTCTTGTGCATCTCCTACTGTTATAGAAGCAGTGGAGTTTTAGAATTTCTGCATCATCTGTCAGCATGTGGCAAAGGGGTATTTAAAAGGGGAGTGTATGTTATTACATTCCTATACATTTTACATTACAAAGCTACCTAATATTTGTTTTAAAAAATCAGAAAGTGTAACTTTGCAGGGTGCGTTTTGTCGCTCTTATGATGTTTCCCTGACAGACACATGAGGACTATTGAAACCCTGAGGAAGGAAAGAGAAAAACGGCTGCAAAGGTACCAAAGAAGCCGAAGTCTGAGTCCACAAAAGCATTTGAGTCTGTTGCAGACGCTGGATGCAAGTCAGAGGGATCTAGATCTCCCCAGTAGACGCCAAGAATATCTGCAACAACTTAGAAGAGATGTGGTGGAAAATACCAGGTAGGGGATTACAAACCTCTGTTTTGGCCTGATGAACATCACCGGTGTTCATAACAGGTGGCCACTGGTGGTTCTTACTGGTATCTGAGACTTCCGTAGCAGAATACTTCTCCTCATTGTAGAAGTGTTAAACTTTGGGATAGAAAGTGCTTTTAGGAAAAATGTCTGCCTGATTTTAGAAAATATTTAAATCTTCTGTCTAGTTTATTTCAGTCCATAACAAGTGTCTGGTTTATGTCTATGATGTGTGGGGTCAGCCAAGTATTCAGTCTTGACTCATTGTAGACTAATCTGTCTTCTTACTCCTTCACTAACTTAAAAACTACATGAAACAGTGAAGTTTCCTGTTAAATATCAAAGAAGTTCTGCAACCCTTCACCATTTAGAATTTGAGTTTCTCATCCCCCACCATACTCCCTAAAATGACTTTTGCTTCTTTTGTGGTAGGTCAGGAGACAGTTATCTTCCCGACACAATTATTGCCTGTGTGATATACCAAAGCAGTCACCGTAGATCACATGGAGAGCTGACTTAGAAACCACTGCTAGAGTAATCTCTGTGGTAAACTGGGCTCGCAATCTGAATCATTTTCCAAGGTTAAGTCCATGCAGCCTTTAGTGAGCAAAGAGAAACTTTTTGGAGGCTAATGTGGTAGTTTTTAATTGCTTTTATGGCAAATTTTCCTATTCCATGTTGAAAGATTATTTTCTCATGGTATTATGTCAGGTGACCTGATTTCAAGTAATTATATGTGTTTTCCCCCACTTATCTATCCTTACAGAGTTCAAGAACCAAAAAGAAGCAGCATTCAGCATCCTTCAGACATTGAACTGTTGCTCCGAGACTACCAGAGGGCACGAGAGGAAACCAAATCTGAAATTGCACGAGCTAGGGACAAACTGCGGGAGAGAGCTGAGCAAGAAAAAAGGCGTATACGGGAGCAAATATTTTCTCAGTTACAGAAGGTGAGCATTACAGAGGAGACTGTTCTGCATTATTCATGTCATTTTTTTTAAAGAAACTTGTCCATGGTTCAGTAGTTCTTCTGTCTGATACACATCAGTGTAGAAAAAACAAAGAATAAAATGCAAATTTCTGTTTAAAAAAAAGCAACTCAGTAATACTGAACAGCTACACTGTT